CAAAAAAAAAACAACACAGCAGGTTTTAAAAATGTGTTTGCCGCCTTGCTCTCAGCAGGAAAGGAAAACCGAACGCGCGGAATTTTGGGGTTTCAGTTGCTTCCAGAACTTAAGTTTGTCGTGGTGACAGGGCTTCAAAAAGCGAAAGGTGGGCGCCCTTTGGAGGCCCCGCAGTGTTGGGTTTGTCCCTCTTGTTCCCTTTGAAACTTTTTCCTTCTCTATTGTGGCGTCTTGGTGATAAAACTTCACAGGAGCCTTTTGTACGCAGAATATATATTATATATATATATTTATATCTGAAATTTTCCTTCTGATAGTTACAAACATTTACCTTATAGGGCCTTTAAAATTCCAGCTGATTCGTGGCGTTCTGTTTTAGGGAATAGTAGTTAGCCAGGAAGACTTCTTTACTTTTGTCGATGACCTTGTTATGGTTTTTCCAGGTTAAAACCTAGAAGCTGCCAAAAAAAAAAAAAAACAAAAACAAAGTGAGGGGATGACACGTAATGACATTGTCGGTTAAAAACTTCATCATTAGTGGGTTTTTTTGGGGGTAAAAAAAAAAGAAAAAAAGAGATACCTTAGATTTTGTTTTTTAATTTATGCAGCCATGCGAGTTTTTCTTTAAAAAAAAAGAACACTAAAGGAGGTGTGGATACTTTCACGCTGGGTTGGGGTGCAGCAGCGTGGCTGGGGGGGGGTCACCTGTGTCTGCAGAGCTGCCACTGGAGCTGCAGGAGCGTATTTTCAAAATTACTGCTGACCTCCCTGACGTTTTGCTGGAGCAGAACCGGTCGGGTGCCTCCAGAATCGATCAGGGCGACACCCAGGACCCAGGCTTTGTGAGTTTTTTGGGGTTTTTTTTTTTTGTGTACCTGTTCGCCATTTCCACTCGGGGCGAGATGGCAAACCTGTTTTTATGCCCCTCGGTTTGTATTTTGGAGAAAAGCCCTTAAATGCCACCGGTGACCGTGTCAACTGGCAATGACCTCGCGTAGGGAATTTACAGTAGGGGGGAAAAAAACAAAAAAAAAACCAAGAAAACAAACAAAAAAACGTGCAAAGAGGCGTCGGCTGTACGACAGATACGATATGTATGCTTTCTCTCTAGCTAATAGTATAAATAAAAGGATGGAAAACCCCTGATTTATTTTTTTTTTTTTTAATGTATAAATTTAGTTTGCTCTCTGCTAACGCAGCTCCGCACCCTCCAAGCCGTGGATCCCTCCCCTCTGCAGGCCCAGCAGCAGCCAACAGTGGCAGGAGCTCGTGTGGGTTCAGACCTGCCAGGGAGCAGGTCCAGCTTTCCTCTGCTCTCACCGCTCCTCGATAAAAGCAGCGTCCCGGGGACACCTCTCCTTGGCTGTTTGGTGGGCACGAGGAGGCAGCAGGAGTTCCTCCCCTTGCAGCCCCCGTGCAGGGAGCTGGAGCTCAGTTCAGCAGGCACAGGAGGGCAG